GCTCTGTTACATTGGCAAAGTTATACGCCTGGCCAAAAAACCATGAAACAATTATAGAATTTTGCTAAATTGGTCACAATTATTTTAAAGTTGAAAGATGCTTAGTTCCCCACAATATGCTATAAATATTAATGTTAATACGCTAGTGAAACTTGTAAACATATCCTGTATGAAATTCCTTTTACTGTTGTGTCCACATGCGGGTACCAGACTCGCTCGATCTTCGGCACGATATTCGTCTGCCTTTATGAAGCAACCATGCATGAGTCACATGACGAGCAAATGATTATTAATTTGAGTGATTTCATTGATATATTTATTCAGGATTCGGACATTATTATTAAACTTTAAAATTTGACATGTTCCAATGGCAATGTCTTACCCGTGTTGCCAGTAAAGGTTTTCGTTCCCCAATGTCTAAAAAATTGAGTTTTGGTGCAAGCACCATGAGGCACAGTTTTAATTATATCACATTCACAATTACAAAACATTATACATCGAATATGTAACGCATTCACTGGTAATACGATAATTTCTGGTGGTGATTAAATATAAAGTCGAAACGTTCATAGAATAATACCTTCCTTGTTTCAGGTTTGGACTATACATTATCTCTTTACGCACAAGCACATGCAGTTAGAATATTTCAACCTTTAAGCTGCTCAGAAATAAAGTATAAATAAAAAACAAACAAACCTAGGTGCTTTTCTGTTATGGCACCCGAAAATATTTTATTAAATTTCATTTCCGCAATTTCCTTTGCTCCTTGTAGCAAAGATTTAATTTTTGGAATTATCTTTTTTGCTGGTGCGTTCCCTGAAATACAATCTGGATGGCCAACGAAAAATTTCCTTAAAATTTCTCTGCCATCACGCGCGAAGACAAATTTCAATAAACGGGCGATAAAACTTATATAACTGAGTCAATCATGTGATATAACCTGCATGCTTATCACATACTTGTGCCTTTATTCAGTTCTTGGCTTCAAATTTGACACATATTCCGGTTTATAGCAGTTTATAAATCATTTTAGTTTATAACAGCACAGTATAGCTTCCAAATCCTTTTGCCTGATTTCATGTGTCTTATGGGAATTTTTGAACGGATTAAACGGACCTCAATATGTCTTTAATTATAATTATATTCCAGGCAGGTATATACACAAATAGCTAATGCCAATGTGGACCTAACAAGCCTAATATATATGTGTACAGCGGGATGTTAATAGTTTCATTTTTAAACGTTTTTAGACACGTTTCAGTTTTTTTGTTTTAGTAATTATGCTTCAAGAATGCGTTGGGTAAAGCTTTTAGGCTAAATTTAGGACATGGATAATAAATTAACAAATGTCAAACGTTGACCGGTTGCAAATTAAGAAAAATTGAAAGAGCATGCAAGAAGATTTTGATTATAATTATTATATATGCAGGATTTCACAGCCAGCTGCTCTGCGATCATGACGTCATGAAGGGCTGTGACAGAACTGACAGGGGCGCCGGAATATGGATAATAACGGGGGCAGATATTCATATATTCGTGTTCTGCATTGTTAACTTCTTTTGAAATCGATTGTCTTTACGATCTGCGAACACGAATATATGAATATCTGCCCCCGTTATTTTCGATATATATATATATATATATATATATATATATATATATATATTAATATATATATATATTTAATTGAATTTGTTTTTGTTTATTTTAATACTGTTCAGACAGCTGCGCTGGCGTCCCATGTAATTAAAGTTAAATGTTCAATAAAAACGACAGAAAGTTCACTGGTGGTTTGTGCGCACAAATGTCGCTAAAAAGTCAAATATTATAATTTTGTTGTTAGAAACTGTCACTATGAAGAGAATATCAACGACAGATACAGAAAAAACAAGTCATTCACTCCACACATTTCAGAGGGCACGTTGTATATAAATATAGTATAATTATATCATTGCATCCTGCAGAGAGCGCAGTGAAGTGGAAAGCCACAGGAGGGACAGCAGCAGATTATCCATATTATCGAACCTTCCTCGAAATGCTAACTTTTGTTGCCATTTTATCGATGACTTTGTCGTTACTAAAAGCTCAACCTTGTGCTTTAAGACATTTCAAAACCGTCAGCGTTGGTAAGTCAGTAATTTAAACTTTCGTGATCGTTTGGATCTCTGTTATCGATGGTAACTTTTTCATCGAGTCAACCCCCATGCAACTTCTAAATCTTGCGAGCTGATAGTTGTAAAAATTAAATGAGCCCCAACTCAATTGTTTCGCATACTGATAGTTAGATTAAGGTGGCTCGATACAGTTTTCAAAAATTCCATCGTTCATCACTTTGACATGTTCAAACAACGCATTTTTACGATTTATTCTAGAGATATTGGGGTTTTATATATTTTGTAACAGATTTTAGTAACAGTTCATCCGTTACTATGGCGACATACGTGTACAAAATTCGCTTCAAAATGGCCAATTGCCTCGGATTGTTGGAAAACAAGCACGGTGACCCCCAATTTTTTTTCGTGCATTATTTTACTTGGAAGAAAAACTAATAATTAGCAAAATATAAAAAAAAATCTATAATGGCAAAAAAAATTTTTGAAAAAAATGTCATTTTTACATTTTTCAAAAATTTTTTTATATTTCGCCAATTGTTAGTTTTTCTTCCAAGTAAAATGATGCAGGAAAAAAAATTGGGGATCACCGTGCTTCTTTTCCAACTATCCGAGGCAACTTGTCATTTTGGAGTGAATTTTGTACACGTATGTCACCATAGCAACGGACGATCTGTTACTAAAACTAATACATCAAAATATATAAAACCCCGAATATCTCTGGAATAAATTACAAAAATGCGTTGTTTGAACGTGTGAGAAACAAAGGAATTCTTGAAAACTGTCCCGAGCAACCTTAAAATCATTTTTTTTGGCTTATCACGCGGCCAATATTAGAATGCTTTGCCGGAGTAAAAATTATTGCAACCAAACATTTAATGTAAGTGTAGCTAAAATGCGTCATTATTCAGTAAGAAAGCGCTAGGGAAATTAATAGTGACTAAAAAAATTTTCATATTTCATTTTAAATTATATTTTCGCCTTTTTTGTACACGAGTATAGCTTAGACTTAAATAAATCAGCTGTAACTTCATTAATTTTGCATTTTGCTGTTTAATCTGCCAAAGACATGTTCTGCATGCATGAAGTCATGAACGATGCGCCATAATAGCCTAAATACCTTAATGAATAGGTCACGTTTAGAAATTTCATATAGGCTACACATGTCCCATGCAGTCAATTTTGACGTGATAAAATTAGCCGTTACAGCGTTACAATTAGAGTTCTCGTTAATTATAAATCATGATCAATGCAGGAAATCAAGCCTTGCGTCCATCTGAGTTGATTTCAAGTCACAATATCCACCGCGTGGGAGAGTGTCATTTACTGTGCATTGCGAAAGAAAATTGTTATGGTTACAACTACAGAGTGAGATCAAGCAGTGTTTATTCTGTAAACTGTCAACTTAGCAACAGCACTAAGAAGTGGAATAAAACAACGACTAAATATGGACCATGGGTTTACTACGAGGATGTTAAGGTGAAGTATATGCGAACTGCGAAGTAACCAATAGTTATTGGGAAAAAAACATGGAGTAAATATTCGAAAACGTTGTTTTCATATAAAATGTGAATGCATTGATAGGCAATTTTTTGTCAGGGACATATTCGGATATTTTATGCCTATTTGCTTTTAAGAAATTTTGTTGTTCCCGGATCTCCCCCCCCGCTTCCTTTGAAGCCGAGGTAGCTAAGGCCCAAGAAATTTTACTTTGTCTTATGCGATTAAATATAGCTACTAAATAAATATTTAGTGGGCGAATTAACTTATTTTTATTATATGCTAAGCGTCACTTCCGGTGAAATGGAGCTTAATGATTGGCTGAGAAGAATTTTCAGCGGTACATTACTTTCCCGTAATGGGTAATGGACCGACGTTATACCGGCGAAACATTACGAGATGAAAAACAGAGAAATTTTCAATGAAAGAGACACAAATAAATGCTCAAGGGAAAATTTATGATTTTGAAATTAATAAGACGTCTCTAGACAGTTTAGGTAAACTAGATGATTCAATATTTTGTTTTCGTTTTTTTCAAATGCGTACCAGGCTATTAATACGAATTCCTGCATCTCTTGTTTGCTTCAAGTGCAAATACATGTCTTATGCCATATGATAAACTTTATATTTAACTCGCTTGCTGGGTCTTTACCGAGAAATATTGGACCTCGATCAAAAAGACTTCGGTCCGATTTTCCTCGGTAAAGACCTCGCGTACTGTTAATAAAAGTTATTAATTTGCCATAAATTATAATGTCGACGTAAATGTACAACTTGCCATTTTTTCAACCCATCCTCGATTATTTTAAATTTCAACGTCTTCTATTCTTTTACTTTAGGTGACAAAAGGTAAGAATTGCAGAAATTTTATTACAAATGATTTGCCAGTTGTAGGAAATTGAAGTCCCCGATACTGAAAATAACATTAACCCCCCCCCCCCCAAATATTTAACGCTGCATCTTACAACCTTAACATTTTAATCAATGTGGTTAAAATTACCGCAAAAACAGAAACCAATCTCAGAGCGACAACAACGTTTGCTCCATGACTACCAGGCGCTTCAAAGGATACCTAGCTTCACTCGACCAATCAGCTTCTAGTATTTCCATGCACTATACCTCATATGATCACTGGACATCACTCTATAAAGAGTGTCTTGAAATACGCCGACGAAAACAAGATCTTAGTAAGGCATCCAAAGCACTGATCATATTTCAATGGCGATATAAAGCTCCTATTTGACGACGATTACAAGCTAATTGAAACGTAGATTTAATAAAACGTTATATTTGGAGTTACTCTTTATTGTATTTCATGACGGTTGGGGAATGATAACGTGTAAAGGGGTACAGAGTCGATCAAATAGGATAAAAGATTCCGCGGGCGGTCGTTACCGTTTTTTCTAATTCTCAGGAATATAACTCCCATTAGAATTCATGTGATCATGCTCTAACCCTTACACAACATCAAAGTAAAACAATTAAGTTTTCCAGATATTGACGAATGCTCGCTTGGGACAGCCAAATGTCACGTGAATGCCACGTGTATCAACACCCTTGGTTCTCATGAATGCAGATGTATGCGTGGATATTCTGGAAATGGAAAAGTGTGTTCAGGTACAACAATGATCTAACCGGTAAATTAAGAAAAAATAATTTTGCAGGGATATTTTTGAGATCCCATATTTCTGGGATGAAAATTTCGGTTGGTGTCCAGCTGTATAGTAAAAATGTTGGCTTAAAGAAGGACGACGACGTCAAATTAAAAAAAAAATAAACCAAAAATGGCAAATACATTATTTATAGGGACCGCGACCGAAAAAACGAAAGCAAAATCCAGGAAAACGAAAACCATCGACTACACTCTGAATGATTTGTACTCTTTTTTGTGCGTCGATTTCTGTGTCGATTCCCTTGACCCCCCCCCCCTAATCAATGTCGTATCTATGCTAAATGCTTGAATTAGTTATGACACATCGCTTAACATTGATTTGTGTGGGAAAGAGAGAGAATTTTGAAATAAATCCCGCAACTGCAAAGTGTAATATGAAACAACAGCGTAAGTGCCGTCAAAGTTTTGATCAGGATTGTTGCTACTTTATTAATAACTCATGGCTTTTCAAATATGCAACCGATGCTCAAAGCCCCCAAGTCCTTTTCTGTCCCCCTCACCCCGTGATGACTTTCTACCGGTGAAGACTAATAAAAAACCTCGCTTCACCGATATGAATGAATTCAAGTCATATAATTATTTTATAGAGACTCAAATGTACAAGATATTTTCTAGCAGAGGTTCCCCAGATTTACATTCCCCATCTCAATTTTGGTCATTTTTTAGTTAATGGAATTGACATTAATGTAGGTGTTCAAAATAAATAACATGATTAGCATCTTTCAGATATAGACGAGTGCTCTCTTGGGAAATACAATTGCAGCGTGAATGCTACGTGTGTCAACACTGTTAGCTCGTATGAATGTCGATGTAAGCGTGAATATTTTGGAAATGGAAAAATGTGTTCAGGTAATCATGATATTGCTTAGCGCACTGCGAGTCACAACATTAGTGCAGTAGAAGATTTTTGCCCTACTTATCTGATATAACAGCAGTATTTTGAAAAATTTTTATTCGATAAATTATTCGAACAATTATATTTCATTTTGTATTTGTCAAGGGATTAAAAATCCAGGTATCCACAATATAGAAGGGTGAACCACGCTGTTAGTTTTAAAAATATATATCCATGGTTACAAATTTTTCAAGGGGTGAATGGAGTTGCGAAAACCTTTTCTGACCTTACCCATTATGTTATCACGCCTCTAAATATCGTCAAATTTTATTATATAATAACTGCAATGAAACACGCAATTTGGTTGGTTAGTGGGCGTGCAGGATGAGATAATCCCGCGGAAAAGTTTACAATGACGCTTCGCGCGGAATTTTTAAAATGTCGAACAATTTTACGCGTGAAGTTTTAAACGATAGACAAGTTAAAGAAATCATGAAACAACGGTTTGACCTAACTACAGAAACTCTGATTAGCTTGTTTAGAATTTCAAACTTCCGCTAACTAAGTAAAAAAATTAACTGTTGTTTCATTATAGTTAAACGGTCAACTCGGGAAAATGTACTGAGATGCAAAAAATCGGAGTTTTTTGATCGTCTAAACGTGAATGATCTTTGAGGTTTCATCATTTGTGAGAGAAGTGGCAACATTATCGCCCTTTACACGAGAAAGACTTACTACCTTACAAGCCGCGAGCGTCTACCTTTCAATCATAGAGCAATACGCGTAAAATATTTTCGCCACTATCTAAGAATTTGATAAATTGTGGAAATATTGTTGCAATATTTAAATTTTGTATTTGTTAAAAAACGGTTACAAGCATTCTACTATAATTATATTAAGTCATCCCCGCTATTAAGATAAAAAATATGTGGGTATGGTACGTAAAAAAGTAATATTTTTGTTCAAATAACCAAGAGTCAAGCAACAAGAGCTACTGCTGACCGAATAAAACAAGACGTTTTTGCAATCAAAAGATTTCTAAAATTCCTTGATTGTTAAATCAGGAACAGGACTAGAAACAAGGGAAGAACCCTTCGAAAAATACCAGACAGGTGCAAGAATTTTTGAAGATTTTGTTTAATGACAAGCACCGATATTTCGGATTTTTTGTAGACAGTTGTAAAACAAAAGTTGTGATTAATATGCTTTCCCCATCAATTATGGTGCATATTTTATACAATATGTGTATTGTTTGAATTATGCGAGTTCGATTGCAAATGTAAAGTACATCAATATACCTTAATTATCTATTAATTTCTAGCAATAAAAATGTTCCACGCTAACTTTACAAGTCTTGGAGAAACTGGTCGTCTTGGTCCTTCATCCCTGGGCTCCTACTATGTGGGGAAAGATAATGACAACATGGTGACTCTCAAGAATGGGATACAGTTCTGGACAGTTCCCTACACTGGAAAATACGAAATCACTGCAGTTGGTGCAGCTGGAGGATATGATAAATACGGCTCAACTGCTCGAGGTCGTGGGGCTTATATGAGAGGTGAATTTACATTTCAGAAAGGAGATGTAATTAAAATATTGGTTGGACAGACAGCTCCAGTGAATTCTGTGAGTGCGTCCTCAGGGGGAGGTGGCGGGTCATTTGTAGCGACGTCGTCAAACACACCACTTATTGTTGCTGGGGGTGGGGGTGGCGTTGAACATCTCAGGAACAGAATGGCAAACTGTGATGCAAATACAAGAACATCTGGAAAAAGAAATCAATGTGAACACTCGTGTGCCATTTGGTCTGGGGGGAAGAATGGGAGTGGCGCATTAGAAGCAGACAATGATTACTCAGGTAATCCCCCATAGACCGAAAACTCGAATAGGTTTTCAATATTTGCGCAATTTCTTTAACCACGTTAATTCTAGTGACAGGTCATTACTAAACAAATATACACACAAGGCATATTTGAAGCGATCACCGAAAACAGTTGTATAGTAAACGCAAGCTGTTCTGCAGGCACGCTTAATTCTTGATTCTATCGCGACACGGATGAATATGGCAACTTATTTGAGCAAATGATGATTAAGTGAATGCTTTCATCGGTTAACCAAAATTGACCTTTTAAATCGTCTTCTAATAACCCTCTTTTTTCCTATACAAACACCAATTTTTTCACTAACGATGAGTGCGCGCGTTCGACTAGAAGACGTCTATCAAGTTTTGATACATCTTGTAAGGTTTAGACGAACAGAATCATTACAAATGGCAAATTTAATTTTTTAAATGAATTTTTGCGTAGCTGAACCCAATTTCTTACGCCCTATACCAACGGCGACTAAGCAATTGTAACTAACAATTTGAGATTAAATATTTTTGTCACTTAAAAGATTTAAAAATATAATATTTGTTGTTAAAGGTGGTGGTGGTGGTGGATTTTACAGAAATGGACGCAGCAGTTCTCAATTTGGTGGTTCCTACGGTTACGGCGGGGAAGGAGGGAGAGGCTTTATTCAGGGGGGTGCAGGAGGACGTGCTCGCACTAATAATGCTGTCGGTGGATTTGGAGGAGGAGGAGGAGCAAATGGACACGGAGGGGGTGCAGGAGGAGGTGGGGGATATTCTGGTGGAGCATCAGGAAATAATGATTATTATTCTTGTGGTGGAGGAGGTGGTTCTTACAACTCAGGAAAGAAGAAAGCAAACGTAGAAGGCGTGAATGAAAACGGAGATGGTTATGTCGAAATAAAACGTGTCGTCTAAAACAGTATCGGTTTTTATTTTGCTATGTTTAGTGATCTTTATCGCGCTTTGGTTGTTGGGAAACAAGACTTATAATAATCTGATGTGTTTTATAAGCAACAATTGTTGCAATAATAAATTAGCCTAAAAAATTAGGTACATGCGTAACTTTACTTTGTTTTATAAATAAAAATGATTTTCTTTCCTTTTCTTTCACCATAAATTGAATGCAATCATTTTCAAGCCGAAGAACTATTCTGAGTGACTGTATTTTGGGGTTTTTATCTACTCGGAATGTTGACATTCAGCAGAATGTTTCTCGCTGTTGGACGAAATGCAGATATTCCACATATTGAGAGATAAATTTAAACCAAAACGTCATGATGAAATATTCAAACACCAGGGTGAGTGACGAACACTACATTACGTCAGATTTCGCAGGTGTAAAGTGATAAATTATAAATCCGAGTAAGAGGAATGATTTTTTTAAATACAACTTTGCTCCCTCTTCATACAGCAGTATAATTGATTTCATTTATTTGGATGTAACCTGATCAATAAATGTTCCTATCATAGTTTTACCATTCCTATCGTTTCCGGGCGTTCCACTGCGTGATGTTTTATTCTACGCCCAGGATTCAGAGTCAACCCATGTTTTTCATTCATGTTTTCATGATGCGAAAGTTGCAAATTGTCATATTTTCAGGTAATATACCGGAAATATTTGAAGCAGTTCGAAGAAGTACTTTTTTTCTCATTTTATAATAAGGCGTTTAAAAGTGAATCTGACCAATGGCTGTTTATTGATTTTTTGATATATTTTATTTACCAGCTTCGTCATAATTATGATAAAGTCACAAGATATAACTACAATTGAGTACAAATACATTACAACATACAATTATTAAACATATACCACACGATAGGATAAACGACACAATACAGTACAATACAATACAATGCAACACAAAAGAAGTAGAATGCGATGTCTGGGACTCCACAACAGTTAAAACCATAATTAGCTACTTGCACTTCAATTATTAACATATAAATGTGGAAACAACTATTTATAACTAATGAAATTATAGGAGCTTATGAAACAAGTCAAGTCCGTATATATGTAAGCAAACGCTTCGGTTCAATTTTGAATTTTTATGCTTTATAAATTACGATGATAAAATTATGGTTAGCAATGTTAGTGATGCACCCACCAAGCCTTAAAGAATGAACCCGCACATGCGCCGTGCTATCTCATGTGATCTCCAAACTCTATGTGCCATGTGATAGAATTTCAGGCAAACTGCAACTTCCAGGTGTGTCTAGTTTGACTTCCCAAATATTCGGTATAAAGATATATTAAAGCCTTCCTAAACTGAACCACGAACGTGACGCACTATTAACAGCGGACACTTAAACAAACTGTTGCATCATGCTACTCCACTAGCCCACTGCGACGATAATTTATTGAAATATAAGCTAGGATTATGTCCAAATGTTTCTTAAATGCCAGCAATGAAAATGCTTTTGTTGACAACAAAATATGTGATTTTGCTGACAAACAAAAATCACTGAAATCAAGATTTACGGCGTGAAGAATATAGAGTTAACCTGATGCGACCTTAAAAGGCGATTCAATATTGAATGCTAGTCTAAATTTTGCGCATATATAAGACGTGTTCAGGCTATATAAAAAAAATCCAAATTCCTCATGTCTCGGTTTCTTCAAAAATACCAAAGGTCGCATTGATTTAGAGACACAGCGAAAGAAATACTCTTAGAAATGCAAACTTTACAACATATATATATATATTCATAAAAGAATTCCGGCAGCTGTGCAAATTGGAAAAAGTTTAAAATAACATTTCGTGCATTAAAGGCCATTTATCCCCTGTAAGCCAATTAATTAAGTCCTTAAGTGGAGGGCTGCTTGGTGAGTTGGCACCCACAGATATCTGTATTCAGGTTAGCTGCATTTCATTTATAGACTAATTGCATTCAGACGTGAGGAAAATAAATGTTTACGGAAGATGAATGTATTTGATGTAATGTTCTTTCCATGGCTCCTGTTCCTTTCAGTTGAGGTCACGCTATCCATCTCGATTTGTTGCAAAGAAATAAGTTCAGATATGAACGAGAAAGAAATTGCTCACACAACGTTATGCTCAACAGAGATCCTGGAGTTGGCGGAATGATGCGAGAAATTAGGAGACGAAGTCCAGAAACAACGTAATGCGTAAAAACACTCTGTCCAGGTTTGTTCTGAATTTGTACGTTGCTTAAATAACGGATAAGGATAACGCTTTCCGAGACCTTGATAACTCTGCATATCACAAAAACTGAATTCAGTAATTATTTTATTATACATTTAAAGAATAGTAAACATAGTATTAACGAATGAAAAACCTTATTTAATAGCAACATCCAAAAATGCAACAATCATTAATAGATAAATACATTCAAATGAATACCGCTTGTTAACCACCGCAGGCTCACTTGCAGAAAACTCAGTTATCTGCTAGCAGATAACTGAATTTTGCGTGATTGCGCGATTTATCTGTCAACTATTAGCCAATCAAATTTCAAATTGCTTTTACCACTATAATGTATAATAATAATGGTTATTCGGTGGTTACCAACCAGCATGATTTTTCTTTATTTACGTCGCACGCACGTAGGCTAGGGATGCCTTGTTTTCATTTTGTCGTGTATTTGTCGTGAACAAGGCATTATCACCTTTGAGAATAGTTCCGTTTGTAAATTTGTCTTCGTTGTCTGTATGCATATCACAAAACACACACGTACCTACACACTGCGATGCATTGCATGATTGCATGTGCCCTGTGACGAAGAGAATTTAATGAAAATGTGAAAGCATTTCATTCATTAGTGATCAACGACAATAACCATCGTCGACCGCCGTTGACATATGAGAAACAGGATCAAGTATTCTATAACATCAACTAAATACAATCAGCCGAACTACTCGCAGAATCCTCGGGAATATTTACAAACTATGTATGCACAAAAAGAGGTTAAAACCAATAAATTAAAGCCTAGTCTACATTAAACCCCAGGAATCGGAGATTCAATCATCTTCAAACTGTCTTGAAAAACACTGCAGGCTTCATTGTTCCCTGATGATTCGAGTTCAACAAGTTCACGAGTTCATGAGACATTAAATCCAAAAACCAAATAAACCGTATAGAGGATGTCCCCCGAAAATTGACGAGAAGAAATGTCCAGTCTATTATTTTTCTCCTGATGATTGTCTCTAGTTTAGTCACAGAATACCTATCAGGGGCCGGTTGTTCGAAAGGTGTTTAGCTTAAACGGTGGCTAAGTTCCGAAATGGAAGACAAAGTTATCTATTTCTTGAACAACTGAACTGAACCATTTCCATGTAAATAGTTTAATTTTCAATGGAAGTGCATATTTAATGCATAAGATGTAGATTCAATCATTCACAAGATGTAAGAGAACAGTTTTAAACTTTGGCTTATCCACCGTTTCAGCAAAGCGCCTTTCGAACAACCGGCCTCAGAAGGAGAACTCCGTTGTTTTTTTTTGCATAAGTGGATTCGTCACTCAGCAAGTACCGTAAATGGAGCCAAGAACAAGAACAACGCTAAGCCAAGAACATCCAGGGCACATGATTCGTCCGCCGGCGAATTAACCGCGAAAAAATTCGAGAACGTCGTTGCTATCTAGCCCCCGGGGCCATTATAGCCCAAACAGAGCAAATGTGCTCGGCGATTAACTTCCCTTGTTTAAGTATTTGATAAGAAACGTTCAGACCAGACGCCAAGAGACGGATTTTCGCTCAGCGATCCAAAAAGTTCGCCAGCAGAGGGATCTTAGCTTGGCTAATTTTGTCCTAGGTAGCCCAAAGGTATTTGTGTTTTAATCTAAAGCGTCCATCCCGTTTAATATCGCGGTCTGTGACGTAAACACCAATTATACAAATAGCAATTGGTGTTTACGTCACAGACCACGATATTAAACTGGATGGACGCTTTAGATTAAAACACAAATACCTTTGGGCTACCTAGGATTTTGTTAGTTTAAGTACGACAAAACGGTCTCACACTATAAAGACAAAGAACTTGGACAAACATTGCTAAGGAGCTACTAGATATTGATGGTGAATGAACAACTGAAGTGTCCTGATTATGCACAATAATTTTTTTTGTTAAAAATTTAATTTTGCATAAATCAATCTCTTTTCCGAGAGTGAACCTTGTTAAAAAACGGTGGAAGAACCTTCGCGATACCTTTTATGTTAAAGTTAAAAGGGGTGATAAAGGAGGAAGTGGAGATGGAGCAAGTAAAAAAAAAGAATGGAAATACAAAAATATTTTAATATTTTTGGAACCATTTGTCGACACTAGAAGGTAAATTACCGCAAATTTGACTGTAGAGTTATTTTTGTACCACCAAGCATTTAATACCAGCCAACAAAATATTTTAACTAAATTTACAGTACGTCTTCAAACATGATTCAAGTAATCACAGAAGACAAAGATTTTAGCGCAGATGATACAGCCATGCTTTATGCAGACAAAGATGAAATGGGTACTGCCTTATTTCCTTTTGAAATAGAGGAAAACGAACACAAAACATCTACTTCACAACCAACCACTCCTATCGGTGTCACCCCAAAATCAGCTGGCAAGGGACGAAAGGCACGGGATGAAGTTTCAGAACAAATTATAAAATATTTGGTTGCAAAAAATAAGAGGCCTGAAACTGGAAAGTCTGAAGAGGAAGTGTTTTCCTTGAGCATTGTTCCTACCTTAAAACGCATGACAGACCAGGTGCTGTATGATATTGAATTTGATGCAACCAAAGTGCAACAAAAATAGTTTCGTGCAGATATTTATGTGTTAATGACCTCCTTTCCAAGCCCATGCTTTGTGGTTCTGTTATCACTTTATAATAAAAAAATGTTGTAAACCTTTTTTTCCAACCTTCGAAATTAAAATATGTTCCATTATCACTGATCAAACAGCTTATTATATGATATACGTAATTTACAGTTTATTAATAATTATTATACACTTAATTTGCAGTGCAATGTTTTTATCATTATAAGTTGTTATGGGCCACTGTTAAATACTACGATTGAATCCTCTCTGCACTGCAGTGTATTCCCATGGAATCTCTCATCGCCCATGCAGAAATACACTTTAAACTTATCCCTAACAGCATATGCATCAGCAGATGCTTTACAGCCCATGTTTGTAAAATTTTGCATGACTTGGTATTCTTGAAGGCCATCTCTTTCATCTTGAAATGATGTGCTTTTACCAGTAGATTTCTGCAAGTTGTTGTGGAGAACACAACATGACAGAACAAGATTTTCACATTGCTCTGGGTGTAAATTAATACGTCTCTAAAAGACACGCCATCGCCGAGCTAATAATCCGAATGCATTTTCTGAGACTCCGCCGACTCTTGAAAGCCTGTAATTAAATATATACGCTTATCAATTGAAAGATTTTGACCAGGATAAGGACGCAAAAGATATGTCTTAAAAGGAAATGCCTCATCTCCATCAATTACATAAGGCATAGGACCTATAAAATATTAATGGTTTTAGCAGATGGGTAATTTGAGTGCAATAGTATTAACAATTTTCAACCTAACAGAGGACAGATCGGGAAAAATGTAACATTAAGTTCCACTTGCAGGAACCAAACCTGTTGCCCTGATTGATCAAGTGAGATGAATTGAAAAGGTTTACTCTATCTTACCTAATAAGGAAGCTCCCGGTAGATCAACAGGAACAGGCAGATCAAGTTGGTTCTTTGATAACCTTTGACCAAGTAGTGAATTGGAAAATATCCCTCCATCGCTATTAGATCCTTAACTTCCAATATCAATTACTGTAAAAATGCAGTCAGTATCAAACTAAAGCCATTTAAACCATAGAAAAGGTTCCTTTGTAGTTAAAGTATAGAGAACCTGAATTGGGTGGAGTTTGAAATGTAATGTGCTTGCCATCTAACGCCCCCATACAATTTAAAAAATTCCATTGACTCTTGCAACTTTCAGCGAAAACCTGCCGTTCACTCTCATTGGGGACTTTCATGCACTGCCATATTTCTGCTACTACACTGCCGACAGTGGATCGATGCACCAACACCATAACTAAGTTCAATAGTTTTTTATGAATCATCCGTTGCAAAAAATCTGGAAAAATATTAATGAATGTAAAATAATTCCATTTTTTTTATTTCCAAATCATGCCATTTTATTTAAACAAGTATTTAAAACAACACCTTATATTACCAACTGTTGTTTTTACCTTAAGCAGATGGCCAATCTCTGCTGAGGACTTATAGAGTTTGGTAACCAACGATATGCAAGAAGTTTGTTTCCGGTGTCATTCTGTAGTACTGGAAAAACCGCGGTTCATCGAGCCGAAGTTCCTGTATGAGACGATGAAATTCTCCAAGTTGTTGCCTTCGTCTCAATATTGGAATTTGAAGAATCCAAACCGTCCGTCTTCGACGCAGATGCCGATGATTCAAAAACTTTGCAAGCTAGGAAGCTAGAGAGGAACTGAAGCGGATCGTAACTGATGCCACCCATCCATTTGAGTAGATATTTCAAAATTTAATTTTTAACAGTTCAGTAGTTTAGTTCCACTCAATATATTATATTGTATCAACTATTTTCTTAGTTGTAAATCAAGTCGGTGGTAGTACAGACATACATACATAAACAATTTATTTAATGACGCATTTCTCGTCACCATTAAATTGATGTTCTTCCTGAGAAGCGTCAAAGGGATAAAACATATTTACAAAAAAAACTTTGAACGGGAGGTGGCGTGGAAGGTCTCCGATAGTAGGTATTGATCAAACTAGGCTTCAAGATGCCTTTTAAGGGAACTTAAAGTAGTTGATAGCTTTGCATCTGTAGAGAGCAAATTTCATGTTACTGCTCCACTATACTTAAATGTTTTTTTAGATATTCGCACTTAGGTTTAGGGATAATCAAATCAGTTTCCCTATTTCGTAATTGATAGTTATTTTGAATACCATTCATTCGAATCGTAGTGGACCAGTGATGAATCATGCTGATTAGTGCAATAATAGTGGAAATTCCCGGAACCGTCCCCTACTGATTTGTGTCGATGACTCTAAAAATTGCTGGTTTCACATAACCAACGAAAATAAACTCTTCAGCGACTTTAGAGGTACTGGCAATAAGTGAAATAGGTCATAAATCTTTCTGGGGGTGTTTTCAATTTTTGTTTTTTGCAGAGGTGAAATACTGGTCATTTTCCATGGTAGGTTCACGTTGCTCTGGGTTGCTTTCGGTCTTGTAGACAAAAGGATCCCTCCTATCCTCCGCATTTAAAGTCTCTAGTGTCCTGAGGCTCTCAACATAAAACGCTCTCAACTTATGAATCTTTCTTGCATCGCGCTCTGTGACGGGTGGTAGCTCTAGTAACGCAATGACATGATGGCCGTCAACTTCGCTGAGATGACCGAATTTGTCGCGCATATATATCACGCTAAGAGCGTTTCTGGTGCGTGGAACAACGGGCTCGTTTGGATGTGAAAATTTCGTGATCGCTGGTTTTTCTGACTATCTACTATCGCACTGAATTGTCCTTCGAACTGACGCAATTCAAAGGGAGCACCGAAGAAAATTCTTGAAGGCAATCGGATTCGGGTCCATTAGACAACATGTCACTATCAAAAAAGGAGTATCATTATTCATTGAATGATGAATCTAGCTCTTTAACAAAGCAATGTAGCCAAAGGCTGTCACTCACTCATCGCAAAAACTAACTCGTAAGCTCGCTGCGAGTAATTTCGTCCAATAACAATGCTTGACAGTTTATTTTGATTCGATGCAAACACTATACCTGAATCGATTTTAGCATAAAAAAGCATGGTATATAGCATTAATTCTTCAACATATTCTGCCAAGTAAAAACGTGCTGAGGACAGAGATAGCTCAAACAACTTAAACAGATGACGTGACCACGTGATATCAAAGTTATGGTTTGATGGCGTTTATTATCGGCAAGCTTTCGGCGAATTTTATAGTTTAGTGTTAACTGAACAATCATACTATGAAACAAGGAATAATAATTCGAAATTTGTTTCCACTTTTAGCAAGAATTGGTAAGAATATGACAACGATTACGGAAGATATTACGGTCTAGATCTGCGCCGGCTGAGTGAGTTCAAGAGAAAGAGATTTCAATATACAACTATATCTTGGTGTGTTAGCACCGACAGGTTTTTTTATTAAGGCTCGCTCCATTTCGTTTAGACCAATTGCATTTAGACAATTGCTTACTCACAAACAGATCCACGTTAAACACTGGCTTAAACTTGCTTGAGTTTGCTATATTTATGCGGAGCGATACCCGAAAGTGAAATAGAATTGATCTAGAATTGACGTTTTGCGCAACGGACATCGCAAGGTTATAGGCTGGGAAACCGAATTGCGAATTTGCTGACTAAACTTAGGCATTTTGGTTTATAGCGGTTGTGGCCGCGGAAAATAACAAAGTTGTTTTTCCCAAACAATATTATAGATAAAAATTATATAAATTTATTTCCAGTAATCAACTTATATAAATTTATATAACTTTACAAATCTTCGAGCAACTGGTTGTCTTGACCTTCATCCCTGGGCATCTATACGTGGGGAAAGACAATGACAACATGGTTATTTTGGTTATATTCATAAACAGGCTATATTTATAGTCGATAACTCATGACCTATATACGTCAAACGAAGAAAGTAGCAATACATTTTGCGTCAAAAGGAAGCACATTCTTTGCTTATTTCGGGTGTTTGGTTTAAAAATAACTACATTTCTTGCGACAACAGAAAGAACCTGTTAATTTTAATGCATGTAAAAAGGCATTGTTCAAACGTGACCTTGAATATTATTAACGCTATTTATACTTCAATATACAAAGTATATTAAATTTCTGCATGGACTCCTTTTCCTCACAAGAATTAGTGCAGCTCATTTAATCACCTGTTTTGTATTTTAATGCATTAATGGACGATTTGCGCCTTAGACGAATTTTTTACTTCGGCTTTTAAAAGGACATTTTCTGAAAGAGCATACTAAAATTAGCAAAAATGCCAAGTTTAGCTTAAAATTGTTTTAAATTACGGAAAATATAGCCATGTGAAGTTGTCGATTTTTGTATACTTTTGTATTACGACCGGAAGTTTGTAACTAAATTAGTTAAACATTTCCGCATGTAAAACAAAAGTATACAAAATTTGCCAACTTCGCATGGCTATATTCTCCGTATTTTACAAGATTTCGCAGCCAACCTTTGCATTTAAACTAATTTAAGTACGCTCTTTTTAGCTGTTGTGATTTATTTTCTTCTTATTACTTCGTTCAAAAGTTAGTCTAAAGCGCAAGTGGTACATTGCTTGCAAAGTTTTAAGAAGCGCAGGGGCGAGCGGGAAAAATACGGGTTGCTGCAGTTTTTCGCACGCAATATTCATACTGACATTTTTTATTGTACTGTATATTGACTACATGCACTAAACCAGGGCTGCCAGATTGCTGAAAAAAGAAGCGAAACATTGTTGTAGTCGGCCATTTGATTTTTTTGTTTAAAACAAAGATAACAACGATGATGCTAATAATATTTGGTTACTCTATTCAGTAATCTGGCAACCTGCACTAAAGACTAGACATGACCTTGAAGAAGATGTATTCAATGTCATCTTAGTTTTGTTTATGACAATGAAGGTCAGGCTAATGTAACAATTGTCCACGTTTTCATGTTTGGACATAATTCTTTTTGAAAATATACGCAAGTTCGCATTGGAACTATATTCTTAGATATTGCAAACATTACAACATATTGAACTACATACAAAAAATATTAAGCTGTACGAAATAAGAAACAAAATGTAAATAACTTGCTTGCATTAAAGCCTTTTCTCACCTGTAAGCCAATTGATTAGGTCTATAATCGGAGGACCGCTTGGTGAGTTAGCACCGACAGGTGTTTATATTAAAGCTCGCTCAATTTCATTTAGACTAATTGCATTCAGACGTGAGGAGATTGAAGGTGAAGATGAAGGTCTTTGATGCAATGTTGTTTCTAGGAATACTGTTCGTTGCAGTTGAGGTATCCATCTCGATTTGTTGCGAAGAAATAATTTCTGATGTGAACAAGAAAGAACTTGCTCACACAACGTTATGCTCAACAGTGATCCCGGAGTTGGCAGAATGTTGCGAGAAAATAGGAAATGAAGTCCAGAAGCAACGTGATGCGTATAAAACTCTCTGCCCAGGTTTGTTCTGAAAATGTATATCTCGTAGACTTGCTTTGCGTCATATTAATTTCATCAGTATTATTCATTGATTAGCTACCGGTGATTTCCCCTTATTTGCGTTCGCGCGTCTAGTGATTTTTTTACTAGAAGCCTAGAAGGTCGTAGAAATAAAAGTAGAAAGTCGTAGAAGGGACGACCAATTTATGTAGTGCAAGTAAAATTTTAGCGAATAGCTAATGATTCTTTGTAATATTAAGGTATGAGGTATTCACGGAGAATTTTCTATATATAGCCATACAAGTATTAGCTTTAAACGTAAAGCCTAGGGTCTTCACCATCGTAAGAAAATCCGGGATCGTTTGTATTATTTTCCGCAAGAGAAAGCGTTTTGCGCATCAGTGATGCCAGACAAATGGAATCCCAGATTCTTTGAGGCTCCATAGCATGGTCTTTTTTTTAGTTTTTTGCGGGGTCGGCATTAAGGGTATAATAAATATCATTTATTTTTAAACTGGATAATCTGGTTATATCTGTCCGAATAAATTCATTTCCAGTAATTAACAAGTTTCATGCGTTTTTAAAACGTTTTTAAATATTTGCCCCGACGCATTAATGGACGACTTGCGCTTTAGACTAATTCTCGATCGAAGTAACTAGAACGAAATAAATCATCACAGCTTGAAAGATCTTACATTAATTAGTGCAATTGCATTTGGCTGCGAAATTTTGTAAAATACGGAAAATATAGCCATGCGAGGTTGGCGAGTTTTGTATACTTTTGTATTACGTGCGGCAGGGCATTTTTTAAGGAATTTTGAAAGAAAAATATGTAATTAACTGGAGCTACACTGCTACAACCATTCGTTTCTACATTTATTTAACAAACGTTGGGTTCCAACGGCAAAAGCGCTACTAAATATCAATAAGGGGAATCATCTATTAAATACAGATGTCTCACGTAATTACATACAGAGGTCTCAGTGACCGTCTCACGTAATTTCTAACTACTCTGTGTACACCTGGCTATATATTTCTTCAAACAAATTTCAAGACTGATATGTTACATCTGATAAATTACCAACCCTTTACAGTGGAAAAAGGGCCCATTCTATCAGGAAATCAAGGTTCACTACTGGTGCAAGCACAGGGCCTACTGGGGTAAATGCAGTAGTTATATAATTAAAAAATGCCTTGACGTGCGGAAATGTGTAACTAAGTTAGTTAAACACTTTTGGCTGTAATACAAAAGTATACTAAATTCTTCAACTTCGCATGGCTATATTTTCCGTAATTTACAACAATTTGCAGCCAAGCTTGGCAGTTGTACTAATTTTAGCAAGCTCTTTCAGAAAATGTCCTTTTTGTCGCCAAGGTAAGAAATTAGTCTAAAGCGCAAGTCGTCCATTTATAGTAATAGATCCGTTCCACGCCAATTTTACAAGTCTTGGAGCAACTGGTCGTCTTGGTCCTTCATCCCTGGGCTCCTACTATGTGGGGAGAGATAATGACAACATGGTGACTCTCAAGAATGGGACACAGTTCTGGACAGTTCCCTACACTGGAACATACGAGATCACTGCAGTTGGTGCAGCTGGAGGTTATGATAAATACGGCTCAATTGCTCGAGGTCGTGGGGCTTATATGAGGGGTGAATTTAACTTTGAGAAAGGAGATGTAATTAAAATATTGGTTGGACAGAAGGCTCCAGTGAATACTGCACTTTCGTCGTCAGGGGGAGGTGGCGGGTCATTTGTAGCGACATCGTCAAACATACCGCTTATTGTTGCTGGGGGTGGGGGTGGTGTTGAAAGTCTCAGGAACAGAATGGCAAACTGTGACGCAAATACAAGAACATCTGGAAGAAGAAATCAATGTGAACACTCGTGTGCCATTTGGTCTGGAGGGAAGAATGGGAGTGGCGCTTTAGAAGCAGACAACAGTTACTCAGGTAATCCCCCATACTCGAATAGGTTTTCAATATTTGCGCAATTTCTTGAACCACGTAAATTCTAGTGACAGGTCATTACTAAACAAATAATTATACACAAAAGGCAGTATCTGAAGCGATCACCGAAAACAGCTATTCAAAATGATGCATACCCTCTGCAAGCACATTAATTTTAATATAATTGTTGATTCTGACAGCTTCTTTAGAGAGTGCCCCATCGCGACATGGATATTCTATCAGCATAATAACTTATTTGAGCAAATGATGATTTAGTGAATGCTTTTCTTGGTTTACCAAAATAGACCTTTTAAATCGTCTTCTAAAAACACTCTTCTTCCCAATACAAACACCAATTTTTTCACTAACGATGAGTGCGCGCGTTTGCCTAGAAGACGTCTATCAAGTTTTGATACATCTTGTGAGGTTTAGACGAACTGATTCATTTCGAATGGCAAATTTTATTTTTTAATTGAATTTTTGCGTAGCTGAACCCAATTTCTTACGCCCTATACCAACGGCGACTAAGCAATTGTAACTAACAATTTGAGATTAAATATTTTTGTAACTTAAAAGATTTAAAAATATAATTTTTTTGTTGTTAAAGGTGGTGGTGGTGGTGGATTTTACAGCAATGGACGCAGCAGTTCTCAATTTGGTGGTTCCTACGGTTACGGTGGGGAAGGAGGGAGAGGATTTATTCAGGGGGGTGCAGGAGGACATGCTCGCACTAATAATGCTGTCGGTGGATTTGGAGGAGGAGGAGGAGCGGATGGAGCCAGAGGAGGTGCAGGAGGAGGTGGGGGATATTCTGGTGGAGCATCAGGAAATAATAATAGTCAATCTTGTGGTGGAGGAGGTGGTTCTTACAACGCTGGAAAGAAGCAAGCAAACGTAGAAGCCGTGAATGAAAACGGAGATGGTTATGTCGAAATAAAACGTGTTGTTTAAAACAGTATCGGCTTTTAATTTGCTATGTTAAGTGATCTTTATTGCGCTTTGGTTGTTGGGAAACAAGACTGATGTATTTTATAAACAAAAATTATGGGAATAATAAATTAGCCTAAAAAATTAGGTACATGCGTAACTTTACTTTGTTTTATAAATAAAAATGATTTTCTTTCCTTTTCTTTCACCATAAATAAATGCAATCATTTTCAAGCCGAAGAACAATTCTGAGCGACTGTATTTTGGGTGGTGGGTTTTTTTATCTACTCGGAATGTTTCTCGCTGTTGGACGAAATGCAGATATTCTACACATTGAGAGATAAATTCAAACCAAAACGTCATGATAAAATATCCAAACACCAGAGAGAGTGACGAACGCGACATTACGTCAGATTTCGGAGGTGTAAAGTGATAAATTATAAATCCGAGTAAGAGGAATGATTTTTTTAAATACAACTTTGCTCCCTCTTCATACAGCAGTATAATTGATTTCATTTATTTGGATGTAACCTGATCAATAAATGTTACTATCATAGTATCACCATTCCTATCGTTTCCGGGCTTTCTTCTGCGTGATGTTTTATTCTACGTCAACCCATGTTTTTCATGAATGTTCTCATGATGCGAAAGTTGCAAATTGTAATATTTTCAGGTCAAAATTTTCTCTATGAGGGAGCTATAATCTTGTTTTTCTTTCTGTAGATATGAAACTATACCGGAAATATTTGAAGCAGTTTGAAGAAGGATGTTTTTTCTTATTTTATAATAATGCGTTTAAAAGTGAATCTGGCCAATGGCTGTTTATTGATTTTTTGATATATTTTATTCACAAGCTTCGTTATATGATAAAGTCACTAGATATAACTACAAATGAATACAAGTACATTACAACACACAATTATTATTTTACGTGTACGGCACGATACGATAAACGACGCGATATGGGACAATACAATGCAACACAAGACAAGTAGAATGGAATGACTGGAGCTCCACAACAGTTAAAACTATAATTACTTGCAGCTCTATTAATTAACATATAAATGTAGAAACAACTATTTATAACTTATTTATAACTAATGAAATTATATATAAGAGCTCAGGAAACAAAGAAATTATTTCAAAGTGCAAGTCAAGTCCGTACATAAGTAGACAAACTATACTGTCTGAATATCCAACAATATTTATAGGCCCATCAATTTGAATTGAAAAATGCTTGATAAATATAAACGAACAAATTAAACGAAATAATGTGGAAAACAAAAGTTATCTTTAAAAAATCCAATACAACATCAAATTACCCAAATCAAATTAATATACGATAAGAGCAAAGCTGTGGAAAACGATATCGAATTCATATATTTAGTGAAATAGCAATAAATAGCAAATGAATAAAGATAGCACAATTTCACACAATCCAAACTTACAAACACTGATATTTTAAATGTAAACTTTATCTGCAAAAAACGTTTTCCACACGCTTGCTACTGTAAATATTCGAAATCAGAAAAATGATATGTCACCGCTACAAAGGTTGTTAATATTATGGGAAATTTATTTGCTTACGTATGATTATAGCGTTAATTGCACGACCTCATTTTTTCTATTATTCATTAATTATATATTTTCTGGACACATGCAGAAGATACATAATTAAATTCATAATTTCTATCTGATTGTTTGTTATAATTAACATTGCACTTTACTTCAGGATTTCCGTTGACTTGGAAGTAACAACAGTCAGCATCAACTAAAGCTATTAGAACAATAGAAAAAGTTCCTTTGTAGTTAAAGTATAGAGAACCTAAATTGGGTGGAGCTTGAAATGTAATGTGCTTGCCATCTGACGCCCCCACACAATTTGGAGCCAAGACTTGCCATTCACTCTGATTGGGGACTTTCATGCCCTGATTTACCAGGCATGTCCAAGTTGCTTGAAATGCTTCTGCTACAAAACTGCCAACAGTGAATGCACCAACACGATAACCAAATCAAGCAGTTTTATATGAATCATCTGTTGCGAAAAATCTGGGAAAATGTTAATCAATCTAACACAATTCCATTTTTTTAATCCCACATCAGCTAGGCCATTTTTTTAAACAAGTATTTAAAACGACACCTTTGCTCGGAGTGAAAGCTGTTATTTTCATTTATAATATAAGTATGATATAACGAGCAATTTGATTGGCTACCGCGCGTGCATTGTGAGGCCATAATGCACGCTTCTGGCTTTTGAAGTTTTTGTTGCTAAGCAACATGTTAAATAACATGTAAGGAGAATTTCATTATTGATCATATAAATAAATTTTGTTGTTGCCCTATAATTTCTTATTATATTATAAAAGAATTAAAAAAGCTCGTCGCGTGCCTTTATGGTGTAATAATGCACTCGGGGAAATGTTGGAAGAATACTCGAGAAGCTTGTAAAACACTCGGCTACGCCTCGTGTTTTACAAGCTTCTCTCGTATTCTCCCAACATTCCCCCATCGTGCATTATTACACCATAAAGGCACGCGATTCGTTTTTTATTTCTTAAATACAGTTTAACTTATATGAACAAGCATACAAATAGTCCTAGCCTGGAAGACTCAAAAGCCTGGTAATATCACTCATCCTTATTTATCTTCTTCATTTACAATACTGATAGTGAAAGTGTATTATCTATACATGCAAGATCTGTCCGGGAGGCCAGAGTCAGAGACTCTGTGTCCAGAGCGGGACATACTATATTACTATTTGTTGTTATATTTTCCATTCTTGGTATCACACCACAAAAATGACCTGCTAAATTTGTTGTCTTTACCTTAAGCAGATAGCCAATCTCTGTTGTGGAATTATAGGGTTTCGGTAATTTGTGGTTTGTTTGCGAATTCGAATATGAGTACCAACGATATATGTATATATAACATGACTGTTTTCAAATGTTTCGGGTGTCATTCTAAAGTACATGGAAAACCGCTGTTCATCCAGTCGAAGCTCCTGTACGAAACGATGAGATTCTCCAAGTTGTTGCCTTTGTCTCAATATTGGATGAATCCCAACATTCTGTCTTCGACGCAGATGCCGATGAAGCAGTAAAAGGAACAGCAGTTCTTCTTCGCAGTCCTCAGCATCTGCCATGATTTTTTTCCCAATTTGCTTGCCGTAAAAAGAAACGCGCCTGGGGCCGGTTGTATCAAGCCCCCTTAGCTTAAACGGTGGATGAGTCAAAATTAAATTAACACTCTTACAACTCTCTTGAATGAGTCAACTTGAATATTATGCACTGAATATGTAGTTGTAAACAGTATATTTGTATTAAGGTCAAATAAAACATTTTGTTCGCTTGTTGAATAAAACGACAGACTTGCTTTCTATTTTGAACTTATCAACCGTTTAAGCTAAACGGACTTGATACAACCTGCCCCTGGTTTGTACGCGCATTTTCCTGCGAATTTCAGTACGAGACACGTCATTTTCGCGCGTTGTTTTTACGCCATCAGTCAAAACTGATAGTCGCCGAGCTTTTGAGTACGTATTTTTTGATAAAATATAATTGAAGCGGATCGCAAGAGATGTCACCCATCCATGCAATAGGTATATCCCTCTGCCATTATCTCATAAAGATAATCTGGGAGAAAATGTTGGTATTAAAAGGAGGTATTAAAAGGAACGGGGGGCAAGTAAATGGCCAATGGGCCTCCAGATAATATGCAACAGACGCCCTAGAGCATTTATGAACCAATTTGGAAAAATTGAAAAATATTGACGCCAAAACAGTCAAAATGTATTATTGTTAAGTTGTCTACAAGAATATTACGATTATAGTTGCAAATTATTTTCTTCGGAAATGTAAAACAAAACTTTGTGAAAATCGCGCCGCGTTGCCAAATCATGTCCTGTCTGTGTGAGCCCTAAAATGCCCGTTTTTTCTACTTGGTGGTTAATTCATTTTCGCGACGCGAAGCGTCGTTCGAATGCTCACTCGTTCGATATGCAAACTATCAAGAGTAATTAAGAAATACGCGCAAATTACTTGAAATAAACAAACAGTGCTAAATATGAACATTGGTTTCCATACTTTGGTCTCCGTACGCACCAAACTTTGACTTAGCTTGGCGTTGAATATGTAGATTTGTAGAGTTCCAACGTGAATAGATATTGACACGCCAGTTATTTTAAAGGGGCTCAAACGACATTTGCTTACTCACATACAGAATTACAGATCCGCGTTAAACATTGACTTAAATTTGCTTGAGCTTGCTATTTTTATGCGGAGCGATACCAGAAAGTGAAATAGATTTAGAATTGACGTTTTGCCGGCGCAACGGACATCGCAAGGTTAGGCTGGGAAACCGCATTGCGCATTTGCTGACTAAAATTACGCATTTTTGTTTAGCTATTGTGACCGCGGAAAATAACAAAGTTGTTTTTCCTGAGCAATATTATTGAAGAACATCCGAATAAATTTATTTCCTGTAATTAACAAGTTTCATGCGTTTTGATAACCTTAACCTTAATATTTCCCTCGACCATTAATTTCTATTATTATATGACAAGCGTCCCTTCCAGTGAAGTGGAGCTCAGTCATTGGCTGAGATGAAATCACCGGTAGCTAATTAATGAATAATACTGATGAAATTAACATGACGCAAAGCAAGTCTACGAGATGTACAGTTTCAGAACAAACCTGGGCAGAGTGTTTTAGGGGATATGATGTTAGCATCGACTGTTCATGTTTGCAACGACCGTTTACGAAAGGGGAAATTGCAACGCCGGTCCATTACGGAAGATAAAAATTCAAGGTCGTAGAAGTAGAAGTAGAAGGGAAAGTAGAAAGTCGTAGAAGGGACGACCAAGTTGGGTAGTGCAAGTAAAATTTTAGCGAGTAGCTAGTGATTCTCGGCATAATATCTTCTATATGTTTCCATACATGCAAGTGTTAGCTTGAAACGTGGAATCCACCGGAGACAATTTTGAACACAAAACTATTCCACAGGAAGGGAGACCTTTTAATAAAGTCTGGTTTTATTTATTCTAGTTCTTGCACCACTTTGTCACGGAAGAGATATGGACAGGCGCTTGCGATATTATCTCGAAACGAGTGTCCCCGAGTTTTGTCGAATCTCAACGTAATTCTCACGCGTCACGAAGCCACTCTTCTGCTAAGCTTCTTCGGCCAAAACTCATTATAAAAGTAGAGAGAAAACGCTGTTTTCCCGAAACTGAATCTGAATATCTTCATTTTTTGAATAAAATTTGGAGATTAATGGTAAGTTATTTGTTTTCTTAGCTTTAAATGTTCGTGTTGTGCGAGCAAGTTTTTGCAAGGCGGTCATATTTTTTTTTAAATTGCATTATTCCTTCCAAAAACGGTCCTGTGCAACACTCCCGTGAGTGCATGGTGTGCTAGCGCACATAAGTTTATTTGTAATTAAAAAAACTTTTCTGATGCTGGCTTGGGCTCCCGAATGGAAAGCTTATAGAATTAAACAAATTACATGGTGTATATTACTTCACAAAGAATCAACGATTTTTGACAACACTATGCAAAACTTTAATAGCACTATTTAACAACGCAATGCAAAACTTTAAAGAACATGTTTGATAACTTTACCAAAATTCGAAAATATTTCAAATATCACGAGACCTATTAATCCCTAATTGTACGAACAACATCGCTTAATTATTTGTTAATTATTAGCATATGATGTAATAAAATCGTAGCTCCAACTTTCGTAGCGCTTAATTGCAATCCTATTCATTCGATTACCATTAATAATGGATGCTCATCTCTAAAACGTTATAAACAGAAATTGTAATGGACCACCTTGATATTCAGTTTACGTAAGTTTTGTAAGTCGATATTTTTGTAATTACCTATACCACCTAAATTTTAAAAAAAGGCGATGTCAAGGCGGTAGGTTTTAAAAAATTCAGAGCATATTAACGACTGAAAAAGACACTTTAATGAAATAGGGCTCCTACTGTGGCACCTCCCCTTGCCCCTGAGGTCAAGGGACCCTCGTCGAATTAACCACAGTTAATAGAATATAATGGTTCAGAGACTACATAAAAGTACAATAGAACTAACTCATTAACTATGTTGGGGAACATTTATGCCAAAAATGTTTCTTTGTTCGTCACGTGTCTATTGTATTTTGAACAAATAAACCAATAGCAAGGTCTGAATTAACATAATTTATTGTTCAAGTCACGGTTGAGGAGCTAAGCAAACCCATTGCTATTGGTTAGTTATGCAAAAAAACAATAGGCATGTGACGGATAAGGAACCATTTTTTGCATAAACCTTCACAGTAAGATGGATAATGAGTTGTATTGTTGTACTTCCATCTAGTCTCCAAAACCATGTATATTCTAATAACTGTGAAAAAATGAAAATTCTTACATGAAAAAATAAAAATTCTTAACTGAACGTTTTGCTCTCTGTTTTTATAGTGCTCTGTGTTTATAGTGCGAAATTGTATGGAGTCTCCTTAAAATCCCCCAATTTTGAAAAGGTGATGTCAAATCACAATCTCGCCGCAGGTTTTAAAAAATTCAGAGTATGTAAACGACTGAACAAGAAACTTTAATAAAATGCGGCTCCTACCGTGGCCTTTCCCCTGAAATTTGAGGTCGAGGGACCCTCGTCAAATTGAGTCTCTTCCTCGTGTTGGGAATGCCTAAAATTGATAGATAAAAATTGGTAAAGATGGTAAAAAAGTCTCTCAAGTGAAATAATTAAGAATACTGCAGACGTTTTCCATCAAATACTTTTTTGTTTTATACTTGGAACTATGGATGAAGTAATAAAAATTATTAATGAAACGTTTTGCTCTCTAAAAGTGTCAATACTGCGAAATTGTACGTAGGCTCCTTAATATTATCTATCTCCTAATTTTGAAAAGGTGATGTCCAAAACCAATCTCGCGACAGGTTTTAAAAAAATCAGCGTATATTAAAAATTGAACAAGAGACTTTAATAAAATGGGGCTCCTACCGTGGCCTCTCTTTCTTCCTCTTCCTCATGTTGGGAATTCTTAAAATTGATAGATAAAAATTGGTACAGGTGATAAAAAAGTCTCGCAGGTGAAAGAATTAAGAATACTGCAGACGTTTTCTATGAAATATTTTTATTATTTAATTTATTTTATACTTTGAAATACTAAAAATTGTTGGATGAAGTAATGAAAATTTCTAATTGAACGTTTTGCTCTCAGAATATGCTTATACTGTGAAATTCTATGGAAACTCCTTAATATTGCTTAATATTCCGTTTACGTATAAGTTTGTGAGTTGACATTTTCGCCAATTACCTATCGTGCAATTTTGAAAACGTGATGTCAAAAAACGACCCCGGCAGGTTTTAGAATATGTATAGAGTATGTTTGCATGCAACTGAACAAGAAAATTTAAAGAAATGGCGTTCCTACCTTGGCCTCCCCTCGTTCCTCCTGTATTCGTTCTTTCCTCCCCGCCTTCTTCTATTCTGGCCGGGCATCAGCTTCCGCCTCAAATTCCCCTATGCTTGCTCATACATCTCCCTATTAATTTTAGCCTTGACCTCGGAAACTGATGCTGGTCTCGCCATAAAGTTAAATTCTTTCTTTCGACAGATCGCCTGTTGAATTAAATTTTTCAGTATTGAAAAAAGTCTATATAGCTAAAGATAAAAAAGACAGCTTACCTTTCATACAATCCAATGAACATGATGGTGTAATGCTTAGGTATTTACCTTAGCCACCACCTGGGAGAAAATACGAAATAAGGTAAACGCAAGCAAATTCACAAAGATTTTGTAGCAGCACATCTCTTTCTTTCACCTACTTTTGCCGACCACTTTCTTAACCCTTTAATTTGGCCCACACCAAATATCCCGTCTTATATTGAAAAGATTTTTTATTTGCTCTCGCCATCTAGTGGAAAAATAAAAATTAGTTATGAAGTAATTTGCAGCATGGTGCTTAATGTAGCAAGTGAGGTTAGAAAGCTTCCTTTACCGCGGAAGACCTTGTATTATTCTGGCAAAATCACCCATCTAGTATCTCTGCAATTATTTACCTCTTTTCGGCATCTAGTGGAAAATGAAAATTATCAAGCAATTTGCAGTATGGTGCTGAATGTGTAGCAATTTTTCGAGGTTACTAATAATTTTCCTCTACCGCGGAAGACCATTCTTGCCATGGCTAGCCAAGCTATAATAACATACTGTTAAGTTATTACCTATAACTGTAAATCAACAACAATTTCATAAAGAAATTTATACGACCCTAGCTTAGTTGTTGACAAGCTACAACTACATTCAAAAACATACTCGATGGCCCTGTAAGCCCTCTTACGTAAGTTTGTGACTTGACATTTTCGCTAATTACCTATCGCCCAATTTTGAAAATGGGATGTCAAAAACCGTTCCTAGTAGGTTTTAAAATATATATAGAGTATGTTTGCCACTGAACAAGAAACTTTAATGAAATGGGGTTGCTTACCGCGGCGTCTCCCATTCTTCCTGAATTCGTCCTTTCTACCTCCCCGCTTCTTTCCTTTGGCCCGGACATCAGCTTCCGCCTCAATTTTCTCTAGGGCTAACCCTGACGGCGAAAACTCATGATGCCTCTGGGAAATAAGTTAGATTGTTTATGAAACAATTATCAATCCAACGAATCAAGTTCTTCCTGCATTCGTTCTGTCATCCCTTCTCATCATGTCTTCTTCTCTGGCCCGGGCATCAGCTTCCGCCTCAATCTCTTCTATCCCTCGGTCGAACATATCCCTATTAAGCCTTGACGGCGGAAACTGAGCCGGTCTCTCCATAAAGTGAAATTCTTGCTTTCGACAGAACGCCTGTTGAATTAAAGTTTTCAATTTTGCAATAAAGTCTAAATAGGCAAAGTTAAGAAGGATAGTTTACCTTTTATACGACCCAAAGAACACGATGGCGTAACGCGTGTTTACCTTAGCTACGACCTGGGACAAAAAACGAAATAATGTAAACGCAAGCAAATTCACAAATGTTTTGTAGCAGCACATCTCTTTCTTTCACCTACTTTTGCCGGCCTCTCTCCAAACCCTTTAATCTTGGCCCACACCAAATCTCCCGTCTTATATCTAATATGTATTTTTATTTGCTTTCAAGATCTAGTGGAAAATAAAAATTAGTTATGAAGCAATTTGCTGTATGGTGCTGAATGTAACAAGTCAGGTTGGCAAGCTTCCTTTACCGCGGAAGACCTGGTATTATTTTCGCTGTGGCTAGCCGAGCTATAATTCTAATTCATGTCTTGATATACTGTTAAGTTATTACCTTTCACTGTATGTCAACAACAATTTATAATTCCAAACAAAGAAGGCCTTTATACGATTGCAAAGAAATTTATACGACCTTCGCTTAGTTGTTGACCATCTACAACTACATCTAAAAACAAGAGAAGCCCTGCAAACTGTTTGAGCATGAGAAGTTTCGATACGCTGAAACTTAACAGCACTGGGTGGAAAACCTTTTCCATTCAATATCTTAAAATTCAAAACGTATTAATTTGCTTGATAAATTTTTTTGGTCCAGAATATCATTTTTTTCAAAACTATAAAACAGCTATACGAATAAGTATATGGTATGTACCCAAAGGTTTTTATACCAGTGTGATGAATGTAAATATAAAGATAATTTTTTTATACTTAGTATGCATGGGTGAACATTGGGGGCGTATGGAAATATGCTCCAGAACAGAGATATATATGAAACGTGTGGTGTAGAGAGAGATAGAAAAACTGATAATAACTGAGTTTGTTCAAAGCTAAGCGAATTATTACACCAGTTTATAACAATGTGAATTTTTGTACGGAAAAGTCATTTACGCGTTCTAATAAGTCTAGATTTGATCATTAATAGCAATTTTATATCATCAATCATCAGTCATCATATGTATAGTATTATGCGCCAGTTTGTATAAAATATTGGCTCTGCGATAATCGGTTCTACAATTGTTTAAACTATGATTTCGCAGATTAATCCCTGAAGCTTGTTTATTTATAATATTCAAAATCGAAGACGAAAAAAATTCAAACTTAGGTGTGTTTTTTTGCTCTTGTTTCGTGTATTGTAGATGGGATTTGCGCTGGCAAATTATTCCCGACGCTGTAAAATGATCTTATAGATATAATAGTTCAAAGTTTTGATAAAATAAAGATCAAATTAAAGAAATTTACAGCTTTTGAGACACTGAAAACAATCTTAAATAATTGGCACTCTTACCACAACATTATTTATTCTTAAACCGAGGTTGAGGCACTAATTTGTCACGCTAGGTCCTGGATTCGGGGACATGTTTGTTCAGGACTTGAGACCTGATAATTATATTTTTCAGGTTTTCAGCTGTAGATGCAACGTTAGCTCCATGGTGTTGAATTGTGCTTTTTTCTTCTCCTGTTCCAACAAAATTGATATATTTCGGTCATTAAATGCCGGGCACAACATAAAAATGCAATTGATCTGATTAATAAGCCTGCAGTTACATCTATATCGTTATGTATGTTGGTGTATGGAGAAGAAAAATATTTTCCTTCGTGCGAACGTGGTGAGAAAAGGAAATAAGTTCATTCCGCAAAAGAAACCAACCATTTCAATCAAACCTTTTTCATACCGAATTAATTATATCTTGAAATTACCTGCCTCTTTAGTCTAGTGTTGTGGCTCACATGCAGGTTTAACACCGCACTGATCCATCAAGCATATTGGAAGGGCACATGTGAGTTGAGATCACTTTTAATTAAATTGATTGCATTAAGTTTCAAGCAGTGATAGTGCATGTCGAATTTGAGAGTGGTTAGAATTCTGGGACATAGTAATTTTTCGGAACGAACCCCTTAAGGCAGAACACTCTGAAGTAGGTCTTTTCAAAAATTCAGTGTATATGCATGGTAGGGCACTTGCCTACCCTATATACTGGAGATACACATATAATTCTATTTTGCATGTTGAACCCGGTTTTAATATACCATGATATAACACATGCATTGAAAACGGAATACATACCTCGACATAGCCGAAGATGAAGTTAAGACACCCAGCCGATTGCGAGATTCACTTCTGGTATATTGTCTGGTTGTCGACTTTGACTACATCGATTTTCCTTTTCCCGCAAAGGTTTGGCTTAAGCTTTCCTAGTCCGAATTTCGACAGTCGACCTCTGAATTATTTTAGCGATCATCGACTTCATACTAATTTACTGCCAAGCCCCGGCTTCGCTCTTATCAGCAAGTTTGATTTTGTTTTGCCGATTATGGAATCGGATTTAAGTGTCGTTTCGAACTAACAGCATCGTTTCTTTGTCAAAACAGTCTTCCAGCCCCGCATCGACTGGTCATGATTACCGGTTAACTTGAGATTTTGCCTCCGGATTGCCATCTTCATTCGTGCTTTAATTGAACGGTTCTCAGCTCTATCAACTAAACGGGCGTTTAATTTTGAAATATCTCTGTCTAGATAAGGCTCAAATTCTAATATACATTGGGTAATATCGACATTGAGAGAAATATCGAACAATTCTTGCCCTTCGTTTGACGACGTAACTATACGAAGTGGAGAAGAACGAACGTGCTCCACGCGATGCATTGTGCCTAATTTGCATCACAAAGATCCGCTACTTCCGGAAGAAAATGCGTCTTCAGAATAATTATTGTTCCCAAGGGCCTCGTTTTCTCTTACGTAAGTTTAAGTTATTGCTGAATTCGTCCCGGAGTCCTACAAATATAAAAATTATTGTAAAAAGCAAATTAATTTTGTCTGCACTCCCTCACATCGTCTATTTTAAATTTCAACTCTAATAGACAAAGGGAAATTCTGACTGAAAAATTCTTGCGCCAGGAGATGATTAACCAATAGTGTAAAGGCGGATTTCCACTTACAGCGAAATCGTTCGCTAGCGAAATATTTGCATATTTTCTTTTGAATTGTGACCAGTCAAGTCGCCCTAATTTATTTATGCCGTTAAAATTCAAAAGAAAATATGCAAATATTTCGCTAGCGAACGATTTCGCTCTAAGTGGAAATCCGCCTTAACTAACAAATAGCTGTACCAGACGAGAATGTTGGGGAAATTTAATTATTTGTACCTTTGAATCTATATAACTGTTCAGTTATAAATTAGTCAATTTACACTAAAGTGTGTTAGTATAGAAAGTTACGGCAAAGCCACGCCATGTTACAAAAGTTGACGACAAAAACCGAATTATTCGAGAACAACTGCATGTACAGAGTATTTTAATGAATTAGCACACTTACTATAACAATTTTTGTCCTACATCCGAGTTCGATCGACCAATAATTAAGTCCTATTTTTGAGAACACGTTTTCGGTTTTTCGAGACCTCTTATTTAGGTCTTCTTTCTTCACCTGTGGTTAGCTTCAGCTTCCGCCTCGAATTATTGCATTTCATATTGCTAGAGGTACTGCATTTCTCCAAATTGTAAGGCACGGTTATTAGTTTCGGTAATCCAACAATATGAAAGGATGCTTTTCGATAAGACGTCTGGAAAATCACTTGGGTGGCATCTCTTCCAACAAAACTGATGTATTTTTTGCCACTAGATGCCTCGTATAAAATAAAAATGTAATTGATTTTATTATTACGCCTGGCTACAATTTCATTCCAATAACCTTACTCGATGCAGAATATGTTTTTCCTACGCCAAATTACCTTGTTCGTTTCTAAAAAATTGCTGTCCCTAATAACTCTAACCACTCTCAAATTCTACCTGCTGCATTCTTGTTTAAATCCAGCGCTATTGCATGGAATTTGAAAAGTAATTCCAACTAACATCTGCTCTTCTGTATGTAATATGTTTGATTAAACTGTGGGGTTTTAGACCTGACACAAGACTCCACCAGCCTAATAATTTCGAGAATAAGAACAAAATTCGATATAAAATAGAAGTGTGAAATGATATAATTGAACGGGCTAGTTTCATTTGCGCGAAAAACTTAATTCCTCTTTAGTATTTATTCAGTGGAGCAAGTTATCCAGGCTAGGCCAGGTGAAAAGCGCATCAAATCAAAAGCTTAAAGGTCTTTCATTATAAT